AGGAAGCACAGGGACAAATAGCCAAACTGGTGGAAATGCATGAACTGAGAACCAATGGTGGAGGAACCCCCATGGAACTGGACCAGGCCCTCTGGATAAGTGAGACAGTTGATTAGCTTGATCTGTTTGGGAGGGCCCCAGGCAGTAGAGCCAGGACCTGTCCTTGGTGCATGGGTTGACTTTTTGGAGCCTGGGGCCTATGCTGAGGCAGTTTGCTCAGCCTTGGTGTAGGGAGGAGGGGACTGGACCTGCCTTGGCTGAGTCTTCCAGGCTGGGCTGACTCACCAGGGGAGACCTTGCCATGGAGGAGGTGGGAGTGGGGAGTCAATTGGGAGGGGAGGGCTGAGAGGTGGGAGGAGGGAAGATGGGGGAATCTGTGGCTGATATGTGAAATTAAGTTAATTATAAAATAAAAATATTATAAAAAAAAGATTCACGCTTACTCTGAGTCACAACAGAACCCACCCTACTTGTTAACCACTCCCTGCCATTTATCTATCCGGAGGCTGATTTTTCCCTCTGCTTGGCTTCAAACTGGGGGTGAGAGCATAATGAGATGTCTGAAAGGCCCACCCTATGCAAAAAGTAAATCAGGCAAAGAATTTGTATGTGTGGCAAGCCTATTTTCTGAGGCCCTCACACTGTCTCCCCACCCTCTCACAACCCTTTCCAGGAAAAGATGAAACATCACCATTTATAGCTTCTTAGTGAGTATTTAGTTTGGCGATCTGAGTTATCTTGGGCATTTTTGTTCTCTATTTAATCTCAACAACCACCATGAAAGATGGAGAGTGGAGTCCCGGGAGGAGGTAAAGGAGCATATGGAACTCAAGTTTATAACCCAGACCCAACACCCCTGGTTCCATCCCAGTTTTTCCCACAAGCCCTGTTTCTGTTTCTGGAAGAACTGACACTGTGGTCCTTTTCCATCTTCTACTTGCCTTAGGGTGGAAAAGGTGACCTGGGTGTGATGGGCTTGGCGGGGTCAAGAGGACCAATGGGCACTGAGTTCAGTGTGTGGTCCAGAGGGACATTCCCAGGCCCTCTCACTAAGACTGGGGAGCAGCAGTTGTCCACAAAGATGGGGAGGGCAGGACTGGAGGACTGTCACCCTGTGCTGGGGAGTCAGGCCTTTGGGGGACATCATGCCCTGGGCTACAGGGACACAGGGATCATGTTCCTGTTGTTCTCTTTGGCTA